TCATCTCTGTCAACACAACCACCACTCGACAACAGCAAACACAACACTAATAGCTCCTCACCACTACATTCAACACTACTACATGCATACACGTCTGCACACAACCACTGGGAAACCACAATAAACCAGATACTAACACCAATCTCAACAATAATAAGTGCACTTCATATACTACTCACAACAACGACTTATCAGTAGACAAGAAATGTCAACTAGCCTCGTTCACACCAAACCGATCATTGAACACACTCAATGAAACGTCGATTGATCGAGCCAGTGAGTGAGTGAGTGAGTGAGTGAGTAAGTGACTGGGTAAGTGAGTGAGTGATTGAGTGAGTGAGTGAGTGAGTGAGTGAGTGAGTGAGTGAGTGAGTGAGTGAGTGAGTGAGTGAGTGATTGAGTGATTGAGTGAGTGAGTGAGTGCGTGCGTGCGTGCGTGCGTGAGTGAGTGAGTGAGTGAGTGAGTGAGTGAGTGAGTGCGTGCGTGCGTGCGTGCGTGCGTGCGTGCGTGCGTGCGTGCGTGAATGAGTGAGTGAGTGAGTGAGTGATTGAGTGTGTGTGTGAGTGAGTGAGTGAGTGAGTGAGTGAGTGAGTGAGTGAGTGAGTGAGTGAGTGAGTGAGTGAGTGAGTGAGTGAGTGAGTGAGTGAGTGAGTGAGTGAGTGAGTGAGTGAGTGAGTGAGTGAGTGAGTGAGTGAGTGTGTGAGTGAGTGAGTGAGTGAGTGAGTGAGTGAGTGAGTGAGTGAGTGAGTGAGTGAGTGAGTGAGTGAGTGAGTGAGTGTGTGAGTGAGTGAGTGAGTGAGTGAGTGAGTGAGTGAGTGAGTGAGTGCGTGAGTGAGTGAGTGAGTGAGTGAGTGAGTGAGTGCGTGCGTGCGTGAGTAAGTATGTCAGTAAGTGACAATTGACTTGATCTGTGTGTTGAGGATGGATAAGATTTGATTTGCACCCAAGACATCCGACCACCATACTACTGTGCAATTGATATTAGCCCCATGTGTAGGGCTGCCAAAGAAAACTTCGATTCTTGGTCGACGGTTCTTACCATGCAACAAATCACAAGAGTAAAACCGTGACGGTTAATCCGAACCGCTCACAGTCTACCAACCCTACTATCGAACAACACCTCACTCCCATTCATCCATTTGCAAATTAATCATCTCTGTCAACACAACCACCACTCGACAACAGCAAACACAACACTAATAGCTCCTCACCACTACATTCAACACTACTACATGCATACACGTCTGCACACAACCACTGGGAAACCACAATAAACCAGATACTAACACCAATCTCAACAATAATAAGTGCACTTCATATACTACTCACAACAACGACTTATCAGTAGACAAGAAATGTCAACTAGCCTCGTTCACACCAAACCGATCATTGAACACACTCAATGAAACGTCGATTGATCGAGCCAGTGAGTGAGTGAGTGAGTGAGTGAGTGTGTGTTGTGTGTGTAGTGTGTTAATTAGGTCAGCAATTGACAATTGACTTGATCTGTGTGTTGAGGATCGATGAGATTTGATTTGCACCCAACACATCCGACCACCATACTACTGTGCAATTGATATTAGCCCCATGTGTAGGGCTGCCAAAGAAAACTTCGATTCTTGGTCGACGGTTCTTACCATGCGACAAATCACAAGAGTAAAACCGTGACGGTTAATCCGAACCGCTCACAGTCTACCAACCCTACTATCGAACAACACCTCACTACCATTCATCCATTTGCAAATTAATCATCTCTGTCAACACAACCACCACTCGACAACAGCAAACACAACACTAATAGCTCCTCACCACTACATTCAACACTACTACATGCATACACGTCTGCACACAACCACTGGGAAACCACAATACACCAGATACTAACACCAATCTCAACAATAATAAGTGCACTTCATACACTACTCACAACCACGATTTCTCAGTAGACAAGAAATGTCAACTAGCCTCGTTCACACCAAACCGATCATTGAACACACTCAATGAAACGTCGATTGATCGAGCCAGTGAGTGAGTGAGTGAGTGAGTGAGTGAGTGCGTGCGTGCGTGCGTGCGTGCGTGCGTGCGTGCGTGCGTGGTGGTGGTGGTGAGTGAGTGAGTGAGTGATGAGTGAGTGATGAGTGAGTGAGTGAGTGACTGAGTGAGTGAGTGGGTGAGTAATTAAGTCAGCAATTGACAATTGACTTGATCTGTGTGTTGAGGATCGATGAGATTTGATTTGCACCCAACACATCCGACCACCATACTACTGTGCAATTGATATTAGCCCCATGTGTAGGGCTGCCAAAGAAAACTTCGATTCTTGGTCGACGGTTCTTACCGTGCAACGGATCACAAGCATTAAACCGTAACGTTTAACGCGAACGACTTACAGTCTACCACGTTGCAATGTCATGAATATTTCTATTTTTCGTCAGTTTTTTTATTTCTTTTAAGTTCTTCGTGACCTCTCATTCATATTTAAATGATTTTACTTATTTTTCTGTTTTGAATTGACTTGCTTAATTGCTGTCTGTTTTTTGTGTTTGACTTCTTCGGTGAAAATATATGTGTTACTACTGTTTCTTAAATATCGCACTTATCAGTGAAGCTTATGTTTTACTAATATCGTGTACGTAGAAAAACTGCCTCTGCATATTGTAGTTGCTACTGACAATTCCCTGCTATCGTATATCTTTACTATAATATCAACACATATAAACCGTTTTGAACATAATATTACTACTACATGGATTTGTGGAATCATTTTGGACTTATCGCTTTAGAAGTAACAAATTGCACACTTGTTTATCATTGTTAAGTTACTTTTTGTATTAATTTTTACGTGTTTTTCATAAACTTGGTTATAAATCTGTAGGAAGTTCAGTAGCACACCGACACTATCTGAATAGCGCTGGAAGCCAGACAAAAAGACTAAACATAACATAGCTACGGTATATTTAGTTACAAACTGAAGATGTCTATCGACATTCAATTGGAAAAGTAAAAGTAGACAGATATAAAGATACGATACCCGAAAAATCAACTTAAAGCACAACACTTTCAAAGAAATCGAGACAGAAAAGTTTGTATTTATAGTAAGACAAATACATTTCCTTAAAATAATATAAATAATTATTAGCTCAGTCTGAAAGAAACTGAATGCTAAATCAAAAAACAGCAACAAACAAAAATATTTTTATGTCCGTAATAAAGAGAAATAACTAAAACTACAATAACAATCTCGCTTCTAAACAAATTACGCTTTCGTGTTACCGCATCTAATTATTCAGCATCGAAAATAGTAAATACGAAAGGGTAGTTGGAAAGGTAATATAGACAACAAACAGTACATAACATCAATAGCAAATAACCAATGCATAATTAACATGAAAGTGAAAATTAAAACAGAACAAAGGAATGAACGAGGTACATAGTAGGATAGAAGGAAGAAAAATATTAGCGGTTTGATGAACGTTATGAAGTGTTTTGGTAGTATAACTGCCGAAGTTGTTTGGCTTCTTGACTCATTACATCGTGTGATCGATAGACGCGATTTTTCACTTTATCATGACTTTGTAACTACAATGAGAACATACATAAAATGAAATGTACTTCTTAAAAATTTATGTCAGTTACAAGATTTACATTCACGCATTAGTTCTTCTCGATATACTAAAGCAATCTGAGAGTGCTACAGATCACATATTGCAATATTCAAAGAGATAGTGTAGTACGCTGTTAGAACCCGACCGTTGTTGCTACCTTGACGTGGTGGTCGGGCTTGCCTATCGTGATGAAGCAACCGAGCTATACTGGCTGGAACAACCGTTCTTCAAAGTCCTACCATGTCAGACAGGTCGGTTGAAGAGCGGTAAGACTAAAAGCAACAAACCCAAGGTCCGAAGGCGAAGTCGTACTGCTGACTGTACAGAGGTGTGACATCGGTAAGGCGTTTCCTTCAGACAACCAGCATAACAGCGATGCTGCCATCCACGAAAAGGGGTAGGGTTAGAAAGGTTAACCCTAAAAATGCACACCTCACCTTGCTCCACGGATATCCGTCTCCGGCGGTAAGGTCTCAACAAGTACGGAGCTAACACAAAAATTACCAAGAAAAAGGTCGTGTGTGACCGACCTCAAGCAGTTGTCCCTTGGGCACTGCCGTCACGCTCCCAGGCCACTAATGCCACCTCTAGTCCAATTTCCTTTTCAGGTACCTCCAGAACAACCCTTCCACGGTGTGTGTAACCGGGAAGTGATAACCGCCCTCATACCTCTAACAGCACTCAAGACTGATGCGTATTGGATAAACAGTAAATAGAACTCGATACAGTGGATAATTGATCTTAAAAGCTATTACTTTCCCTGATATTCAAGAAAACCAATGCGTCAAAACTGGAATGAAATAGCTCCGTAAATAATGATAACACGTAATGACCTTGGTACAACAAAATTTGCGAATTCGAAGTAACAACAACAAATAAGATAACAGTCATTGTGAAAATACGAATTAGAAGTGTTATCACAGTAATCCACACCAGGTAGGACTATCTTTTATTGACAAAAAACTAGATTATATGATCGTTTTTTTAGCAGTTTTACTTCATTACAATCATAGTGTTTAGGGCTAGATAATAGTTAGACATTTGTTACTTTTTTTGCCCTAGTAAATACAGATTAACAACTAATTTAGATCCTTAAAGTTTAGCTGTACACCCAATACCACTAGTGCTTACTCAGTAGTTTGAGCATATGCAAATTTGATTATTCACCATTTCGAGTGTAAAAGCTGCATTAGCACAAAACCCACATTGATCAGTAAACTTAACTCTCCATAGACATCCGTATACCATAGATAGTGTATGTAGCAAATGTCAAACGTACTTATTCTAATCATATTTAGGCTATTATGGTAACAAAATTTTCAACGTTGATGTGACTCTTGAATTAAATTTAGTGGCTTAAATGTTCTGCAATCAAACTAGACGCTTTTTTAGCTCAAAACTGGGTCAACTATCTGACGCCTCTAACGTAAGACACAAAGATAGACTATGATAGAATGATGTGAAATTTACAAAATTGGCATTCGTAGGAGTCTATTTGAGAATATAAAGCATTGTAATTAAATAAATAAAGAAATAAAATGTTAAGTCCGAAAAATAATAAACTTAGTATCCATTTGGTATGATAACTTAGAGGAAATGATTATCATTAACTGAAAGAGAACACTGAACAGTAGAAAGTACTTACTGCTTTATAAATATCATCGTTCTCTGGGAAATCATTTGGTTTTCTTGGCAATACATGGACGTGAACGTGCTGATAATAATAGTGATAATAACAATCGTTATAATGAAATAGAGAACCATCAAAAATATTAACCATAATGGATGGATCAAAAACAAACTAGAAATACGTTTGTGTACTATTTATACAAAATTTGTCAATATTAGAATAAATAGTTCGACAAATATCGGACGCCAAGTACAGAGAAGACATTATGTATTTGAATTAATCTAGGGCAATTGAAATGTAAGTAATTCCAACGTTTCGTTCAGCAAACTTGTCTGGACTTCTTCAGGGTAATAATCAAAATTACCAAAGAAATATATACTATTTAACAATCAAATCAAGTTTATACTGTGCTTATCTAATCATATTCAGATGTAAGTAGGATAACATGAGCTAGCTATATGAGAATCATGTGAATAGTTTACAATGTGGAAATAAATGAATGATTGTGTATAGGCATATTGATACTAGGTATTGATTTGTTTTTACATGAAGTAAAAATAATAGTGCTAGTTGAAATTGTTTTTTGAACAGTCTGTGAGTATGTCAAATGAGAATCATCACGGATATAATTGTAATGCTAAAATATTCCAATTAATTCTTGTCAGAATAACGATGCATATGAATAGAGATAGAGTTCAGTTACTTGTTAATGAACATTTTCCATGTAGTAGATAGTTGAATACCATCTTCTCTGTTCAGGTGGTTCATATTAGCTCACATATACAGCACTTCCGTTGCCAATCTTTCTTTATATGTAATAAAACCTTTCTGAAGTATTTTGACACCTTCGAAGATGATCTAGTGCCCTGTTCCTAATGTATGTAACGCTATTACCGATCTATTCTCAAGTTACTTCAGATTAACAGAGGATTTGAAAACATTTTTCATTGTTTGTGTTTCTTCAACCTTACATCTGAATATGATTGGATAAACACAGTAAAGATTTGACTTGATTGTTAAACATTATATATTTTTGACAATTGTGATTAAAACCCCGAAAAAGTTCAGACACGTTTGCTGAACGAAATGTTTTAATCATCTGAATTTCAATCGCTGAGATTGTTTCTCTTATGTGAGGTCCACAAATGATATTGAATCCCAAAGGGTTTATCATTATGACTTCAATAGTTAGAAGAAGAGTACATTTTTAAATTATTCAGCCACACTTTACTCAAACATATGCTGTGTTCATGAAACAGGCATTATAACAAAAGGCTAAATTATTACACCAGTTAAATGAGATTAAAGAGTTACAAGCACGGAAACTATTCGCGTCGCATGGAACAGTCTAGAAAGATTAGCAGTGATAAGTCCACTACTTAAACGCTTGTTTCTAACTTTCTAGCCACTTCCTATAGCTTCAGACTACTCCTACACTTCAACGTGAATAGGTAAACAGAACGAACAGTAAAACGTTTTACCCAAAGGTTAGTCATATACAAAAAAAGCTGTGTATACTTATCGTCCCGCGTGACCTCAGGCTTTAAGAACATTCTGGAAACATGTCAAAAATATGATAACAACATAGGCAATGATCCAATCAAAACGTGACACACCATAATCCCTCATTTCTAGATTCTCCTGAGAAACTTCTATTAAATGTTGAATCAAAAGTTTCCAGGGCTTCTAGAAACTTTGACGAAGGACATTATAGGACTTCTCAACAAATAGAAACTTAAAAAACTACATCGACCAAAGAGAAAATGTCACACATTCTAAGTTGTGGTTTATCCCAAAACTATACCTTTCAAAGCGTAAGTACATTAACAAATGTTTAAGGATCAGTCAGTCAGTCAGCAACAACGTATAACTTTGTACGTACGTACATCAGTTCAAGTTGCCATACCACATTACCACACAGATACAATTGTCGATTCAAATCCCATAGTGGTAGAGATAGTAAAGTATAAGAAGTAATCGGAAACATTAGGGTTTGAAGATGTTATTCAAGGAGTATAATCCAGTGAAGTAAATTTGGGAAGAGGAAAACGAAAGAGATATGAAGAATTCAAAAGATTAGAATTGGGGAAAACACAAAGAGTGGATGCACTTGCGCTATTCCAAACGATTTTGAGCCATGTCATTCAGGGTCTCTAACCATCAGTTCCTATCGTCTCGTGGACCCCAACCAGGTAGTCTACATTTACCAACATGCCTCAGTCCACTTGTCAGTGACTTCATGTATTTGTGCCATGTTTTGGTCCGATCACCTCTAGCTTTCTTCCAACTTACTCCTACACCATAAAACATCGCTCGTTGGGGCAGTCGGTGGTTGGGCATATGTATCACATGTCACAGCCATCTTAACTGACGAAGTTTCACTACTTCATCAATCAATTTGCCATCCCCGCCTAGTACCCGTTTTCTAACAACTGGAGGACTTACATCAACTAGCCATTCAGGTTGACTGGAGATCGTGGGAAACCGAAGTGTGGCTGAAGGCCAGTTCAACTGATCCATAAAGTGTTTTGCCCATCGATCAAATCTACTGGATTGAGAGTGAATAATATGTCCATCTTTTTCGGTGATAGTTTCGCTAACAGTTGGATTCGCTACCCACCATTGTTCACGATCATTGTGTAGGCTTCTTATCAGTCTGCGCGTAAGTTAACTCCGCTCTTCATCATGTTCAGAGTCAGATAGGATGAGCTTTCGAACATCTATCAGTGTGGTAGATGTTGCTGAGATCCAGTACTTCTCCTTAACCTTATTGGTTTACCTTACTAGCAGATATCACTGCTGTTTCCACAGCTTTTAGGATATCATTCCTAGTTGCCTCTGGGCTAGCATCACTTACATGGCTGCCTAACTGTTTTTCCAGTTGTTCCTGAAATATATTCTTAGCCTGGCTATCATTAAATAGAACCCTAAGAGGTTTCATTGCAGCGTCCTTCCTACGTCCAGTAAGACGCAGACAAATACGCGTTCTCACTAGAGCATGATCTGAATCTGAGCATGCGCTCCAGAACGAACGACATTCTTTTATTGAGCCCTCCATCGGTGGCTGATAGCAATGTGATCTAGTTAGGTTCGACATTGGGACGAATTAGAGGGTCGCCATGTTAAAAGATGTTTTCTTTATGCTTAAAGTTAGTATTTGCTAGAAACAGGCGGTTATCTGAGCATAGCTGCAACAGATGATCGCCATCATCTGTTCTTTGAGCCACGACAACATAAAATCCACCCAGGTGTCTCTCCTTTTCGCTTAGTTTACCTACTTAAGCATTAAAGTCACCAGCCGCTACTGCTACATCAGAGCACCTAACTTCTTGGAGATGGTCAGAAAGCTTTCTGTAAAATTCATCTTTTACATCATCTGAGCTGCAGTCAGTGGGAGAGCGGGCAGAGACGACGAAGAAGTAACGACGTGTGTCCCTATCTTTCCGAGTCCTTACTGTTCCGTTTAGTCGGACAGCGCACAAACGACTGTCTACTGGGATCCAGTCTAGGAGAGCTAGTTCCGCCCTAGAAATAATTGCCACACCTACACCGACGAGGCCATGGGAAGCAGCATCAGGGCTTCCAGATACGCGAAGCGCGAGTCGAGTCAGTTCTTTATTCTGATACGGTGAGGTCAAATGAATGACGCTACTCGGATCCTGTATGCGCGTTTCGGAGACGCAGAACACATCGATGGCGCGAGATTCTAAAGTCCTAGCTAAGGAAGCCTGTTGTCCTATTTGGTACAGTGTTCGGATGTTAAAAGCTCCTACATGTAGTTTAGAGTGTGGTTTCAGGAGACCAGGAATAACGTTCCGCATACTCGGATCGTTTGCATTAGCGGCGCGAGGCGACAAAGGGACTTGAGAAGGGTAGGAAGAACTTGATTATGACAAACTTTGTCTCGTGCGTTGTTACGGGTATGAGGTCCGATGTCACTTCTCAGCTGCCCACACCGAGGAAGGGTATTTCTTGAAGCTGAAAAAGGAGTTGGATTAGTGTTAGTCTTAACGACCTGAGAGCGCGAACGCAGAGACGGGTCACTCATAGCTTCTTTGTGGGAAGTTTTAACGTGTTAGCTCCGTTCATCGAAAGGCCATACCGCAGGAGACGGGAATCCGTGAGGTAAGGTGAGGTGTGACAATTTTAGGGTCGACCTTTTCCAATCCCATCCTTCCTTCTGAGAAGGCAGCATCGCTGCAGATGCTGGTTGTCTGAGGAAAACACCTGAATGCTCTCACACCCGTCTACAGTCAGCAGTACGACTTCGCCCTCAGACCTTGAGTTGCTGCTTTTAGTCTTACCGTTCTCCAATCGACCTGCATGGCATGGTAGAACGTACAGCAAGTATAGCTCAGTTGGGTCATCACGATAGGCAAGCCCGACCACCACGTCAAGGTAGGCGCTGCGGTCAGGAATGTTTAAGGATAAGTACGTCTAGACATAGATTGGAGTAACTACTGACCTTTTCTAAATACCTTAGGAAAAGGTTAATTGGCCGGAGTTATTCTAAGTGAATCCGATATTTTCATTCTAAACATTGAAAACCTAAATATTTAAACAACTTTTGTCAATCCATTGATATCTCATTTCTGTTGACTATTAGAAATTCAATTGACTAACGATTAAAAAATGCTGATTACAGTTAGAATAAAGGCCAAAATGGTTATTACAGAAAACTAGTTACTGTTATTTCTGATAAATTACAGAGTACAGCCATATGATTATAATTTACATTTGAATAAATGAGTAATTACGAAAGCATTATGCAAATGAACCAAACTCATTTGCTACAATCACAAGTTGACTGATACTTGAGGTAGGCTAAAGTACAATAAAATACTAATTTAAGATTGGTCAATATATACACAATATTTGTTCATCTGATAGTTTACTTGAATGGGTTTGGTAGAGATTAGATTAGCTTATAAGTTGTATATATCCCGGTTGTCTTAGTCAAGGTAGCACTAGAAACAAAGGGGCTCTATGAAATAAATAGATGGTCGGTCGGTAATATTCATGAGTTGTTGGGTATCGTTGATGAAGCAAACCCTTGTTTTAGGCGTTTTAAGGGTGATCATACGAAAACTATCCAGCCCTTATTGATTTCTTGAGGTTCATTTTTTCTTGACATTAACTTTGGCTCCAGCATACGAAAGGAAAATAATACATTTTTTAACGTGATTCTACCCTTTTACACGCAGATGACATGAAAAGGTAACATAACCTAACAAATGTAATGGAATGTAGCTGCTCTTATATATCCGAAATGCAGTTATCATATTGGTATACGATAAACTACCCAAGTCAGTTCAATATCATCAACAGAATCGCCATATGTGAAAGACAGTGAGTTTCGTCCAGCAAATAACCAAACTTGAATGACATTTTACAGCAAACAGCATACAAACAGACAGTGATACACACGATCAATGAGATTATATACAATGAAACACAGCTATGGTGACTAATCAGGAATATTTATACCTAATTATTAGCTTACTAAAAAGTTCACCAATTCATTAAATATTGATAACCTAGTTAAATTTTCTAGTGAGATATGAGTGTTATACAATGGAGCATTGAGACTACGATTGACCAGCAAATTAAATATCATATCAGTAGAAATAAAATTAGGCTACTAAACAATAATAATTAATTGTTCAATGCTGAATACAGAATAAAATGAAAAATTTAGCAATTCAAAACGGTTCTTTTTACTATTACTACAACTACCACTAATGATAATACTTGGATGTCCAAACTGAAAGACAGGATTTCCGTTAGTTGGAACACAAGCATGTGCTTCAATCGCTAAACTATTAAGGCATAATTATTTTACAGAGATAATCTGAAAGTATAGCATTTTTTCAGTAAAAAACTTACTGACACACTTTGACCAGCGTCTTCTCCATCTTGCATAGATATGGTTAAGCTTGTAGCTGAAAAATATCCAGCTAGTCGTTCAGCAATCTGTCTGACAGTCATATAAAGATCAGCGACTTGTGCCGAATTTAGCTGACAAAATCTTTGCACACTAGCAATCGGACAAACAAGTATGTCTATATTGAAACTTATTCGTCAAAAGAAAATAAGCATAATCTGATTTGTGATATGTGTTTAGTAACAACTGCTCTAGTAAGAGTAAAATGTGAGAATGATACCATCAGAATCGAGAAAAGGAGCTAGGTTTTTCGTAAAATACAAAACTGACCTAAAATGAGTGGTAATAATCTTTATATGGTGTTCAAAACGCTTAGAACAAAAAACTTACTGTCATCGTGGAATAAAACTGGTGCTAAATGTATCAAACACTCAATTTTTCCTATGTAGATTGCACATTACAGGGAAAAGAACAATAATTTCTAGTCTTGAAATAAACCTTAATCCAGTGGTATTATAATTTAAGGACGAATAGATGAGACAGTATACAATATATTGGATTCTTGAGACAAATCCATCCACCCACATAGTTACAAAACACCTCTATAGTTGAAGCCAGTTCGTAAAGAGCACCTTAACCAT